TATTTAAGTATGTGTGTGTGGTCATTCCTATTTAGCAAGCACCAGCAGCAATGGCCCGCCGTTTGCCGTGCTTGATTCAAAAATCGTACGACTCATACAGCAATCTTTATCACTTGATTTAAAATATTTTTGCCCTTCCTTGCCATTAAAGGAGTGCCTAATACCGTGCTGATGTGGCTACATTTTCTTCTTCTTTTCTTTTTCTTCTTCTCTTTGACGTGGGGAATCATGGCTCTCCACAATTTTCTGTCCTTTGTAGCTCTTAATAAATGTTAAGGGGTCCACCCCTTTTTCATACAAGTGGACTCGCCCAGTGTGTACTTGTACTGCTGCCGGTGAATACCCAGAGAGTGATAGAGTGACGGTGACAGTGATACAATGAGAGAGTGAGGTAACCGCTTTGTAGGAGTCACAGTTGCGAGCACGTAGACTCAGAAGGAAGTCATATTTCGATACTGAATTTCTCTGACTGTATATATATATATATATATATATATATATATATATATATATATATATATATATATTATTGCTACTAACCGCATTTCTAGATCTACTAACCGTATTATCAATTCTATTATTACGTCAATACATTCATTTGCTATATTTCATACCTGCGTTTGTCATTCATTTGAGCCCGGATTTCATCCCGGAATCCACAACAATAAATGTTGTCTTTTTATCTCTCCTATAACCTGTTTTACCATGCATTTACTCATGGTTGTTTTCCTCTCGTACTACTTGGATTCGATCTGCCTTGTGAGTATCACATTTAGCAAGTTCTCTTTCCTCATTATGTGCTCTAGAAATTTCAACTATCTTTTTCTGATATGAAGTATAAATGTCCTTTTTGTTTCTATTTTGTCTATTTTGTCCAGTCCATAGTATCTCAGGATCCTTCTGTAGAGCCAGATTTCTTTGGCTTCAAGTCTCTTCTTCATCTATGAGCAGATTGTCCTACCACATAGGAGAACTGATATTAAATAACAGCTCAGTGGTCTTTGTTTCTAACAAAATTTTCCTGTTTCTTAATACTTTGCTTTGCTTTTGGAAGACGTCTGTAACTATGCCAATGCGCATTCGGATTTTGATGTCGTGTCTTCCTAGATATTTGAATTTCCGAGATAAGTTTCCTATTTCCAAAAAACTAAATTGTTGTACTTGTTTGATTTTGGTGTTTGCAATTTTTAATTCGCACGTTAGACTGATCCTTTTGCTGACAACCATACATTCTGTCTTCCGACAATTTATGCTTAGTCATTTCCTGCTTTCCTTTAGCAGTTTCTCAAGCAGTTCCTGCAGTTTTTCATTCTGTATCTGCTATTAATACTGTGTCACCTGCATGAGGATGTTAAGATTTTGGCCGGGAATAATTAATCTTGGTATATAACTTCTAATTCTTTCAGGATTACTTTACTGTAATGATTGCATAAGTCGATGAGAAGATACAGCCTTGTCTTATGCCCCTTTTTGTCTATTTTTGTGTATTATTATTAAAACCATTGTCAGCTGAGATTTAAGAAACATTATTAGCCTTCTTAAGAATTCTTATTTTCTGTATTTTAACGAACGTTATCATTATTAATAATAAAATGACATTATCTGTAATAAAAAGCATTATAAGAAACGTTATTACCTGTATTCAAAAAATATTAAGAAATTAAGAAGCATTATTATTATTAAGAATTATTACAAGTTGTATTTATTCAAAAGCTGAGGAATAACTTTATATTCTGTTGATATCAATATTCATTCTCCACGGCATCTGCCATTATTTCTTTCCAACGAAACTCATTAAATGCCGCTCGTTCGTTTCTGACTTTTACCGATGCTGTTGTTATTCACGCTTGGCATTTCGTATTCCATCCTCACAAGTCGACAAGTTCTTGTCGCTCTTGTTGCTGACCTTTTTCTGCTCTGAAGTGTCGATCTGAATGGGAATAGATATTTACCCTGGCTTCTGGGTATGCACCAAAGTATATCTTTACCATTTTCTTTTTATTTAACAAAGGCGTTTACATTACCCCCACTCTCTTCGTCTCCCTCTTTTCCTCTGCTTCCATCCTCTTCGTCTTAATATAAATGATTTCATCTATTCTCCATTTTTCCTTCTCTTTGAATTGTGCACTCAAACACACACACACACATATGTATGTATGTATATATATATGTGTGTGTGTGTGTGTATGTCTGTGTGTGCGTGTGCGTCTGTGTGTGTGTGTAATATGATGAAAATATAGTTTTAAGGTATACTATATTTATGAATAAATATCGGGAATAGAGCTTGTGTAGATATAAAGTAGTGTCTGAGGTCAAAACCGAAAGGTGACAGTTTCTTTTCATGCTTGAACGCGATGTTCCAGACATGTCCGTCTCTCTCTCTCTCTCTCTCTATATATATATATATATATATATATATATATATAAGTGAACATTGAAGTCAACACCCAGAGGCGACAGGCTGTTTCATGCTAGGCGCAATTATCAGGCCGCGAATGTTGGATTTTTCCTCGAATATTTATATATATGGGTTAGTGGTGCATTGTGGATAATCCATACCGGAGGTTATTTTTGCGGGAGTGGTTTGTTATTCATTTATTTGGGTTAATTTATTTGCTTTTCATTTTATTTTCTATTATTTATTCTTTTTGGTTTTTAATGTTTTATTAAGGTAGTAAAAAAAATTGTGGGGGATTTGCTTAAGTCGCTTATTTAATAGTGAGTCTTGGTCTGGGAAGATAATTAAGGCTATTTATTCGCTCAATGTTTAGATTGCTTACCGTAGTCTATTCTGTTATTCTGGCGCTTCAGTTTTTAATTAATTTATTTATTTAGATTTATTATTTTTACTTGTTTTTTGCTTATTTATGCTTATTTTTCTTAGTTCTAACTCTTATTTAACGGCGGTAAATTGTTAATTTGTTCATTTATTTATTTTTTTGGATTATTTTTTTTATTTGTCTTTTATTTATTTACTTATTTTTATTTTGTATATTTATTTACTCTATTTGGTTTTAAAATTTTTGAGTAACGTATTAATGTTTTTTTATCGTTATATAGTAGTTATAGCTATTTTACGTTCAATTTATGGATTGGTTATTGTAACGGTTATTTTGGCGGGATTGTTCTGTTAATTTGTTTATTATTATTTATTTATTTGGGTTGATTAGTTTTATTTGTTTTTTATGTATTTTATTTTTTTTTATTCTATTCTATTCGTCTATTCTAACGGAAGTGGTTTGTTTATTATTTGTTTGGGTTAATTTATTTTACTTGATTTTATTTTATTTTGTTTATTTGTATTTATTCATTTCAGTTTTAGATTTTTAAGTAACGTAGGAAAAATTTGTTTTCATTGTTTGAATGTTTGTTATTCCCATAAAATTAGTACCGATTTTACGGTGAAAATCTTTGTGCTATTATTTAGACAATAATCATTAATTTTTTTTTTATGGAACGCTCCTTTAAATCCTTTTCAGAACCGGGGATATTTTTGCTAAATATCTTGATTTTTGCCGTCCACGCTGAATCTTAAATTTGTGCAATTTTTTTTTTTAACTGTGAAAAACACATTAATTTGTAAATTATTGCAAAAACCAGATAATTTTCCGGTTATAATTAACTTTCAGGAATTACTCAGAAATTAATTAATTATTTTTTTCTTTTTTTAGAAACTCTTTGTAAAAATATTTTTACATCTGTTTTCCTCCATCCATTAAATATTTTGAAATTTCGAAAAATACTTTTTTAGCGGTATATATATTTATATTTGTTATAGGGACAAATCCTCGGAGAATTTCACTCATCCTAATGTTTTGGTAAAACAGGACCACTAATTGGGGAGAATTTTCTCTGAATTATATATAAAAATGTAACGAAACTAAAACATTTTAAAAACTTTTAATTATTTTTCATAAATAACATATATTATGGACACTGTTATCTTGCAAAATTTATTTTAATTTATTTTATTTTAATTATAAAAATTTATAAACTTGTAAATTTAGAATTCTGTATTAATTTATAACGAACAAGTGATATTCTTATAAATCTAAAACTATTTATTAATTATAAAAGAAAAAGCTCACTACAATCTAATGGCCTGTTCAAAACAGCGTAATGTTTAAAATATTTTTTAAAATAATTTTGAATCTGTGTGTGTATAAAAATGAAGATTTTATTAAATACAGAAGCCCATGAACAACATTATCAGACGATAAGAGAGGAAAAATATAATAAATTAAAATGTATTGGTAATTTTCTAACTTAAAAGAAAGCTATAAAGCCAAACCACCGAATATTCAATGTTAGATTGCTTAAAATATTTTCTTAAATTTTAAGTTTGCTTAGTAGTTATAAACATTATTTTAAAAAAGCCGTCCACTTTGTATTCCTTGATTAATTTTTCAGTTATATTCCCTTACTTAAATTTAGCAAATTTACGAGCTTGACAACAAATCAAACAATATATCATAAAAACATCCACATCGTGTTAAAAAGTAAATGTTGTTTCAGTTTAGATTAAATCAGATATATTTTACTTTTTAATTATTTTTAAGAAAGAGAATTACTTTGTGTTGTGAAATCTGTCAATATGGACGAATTTATACAGATTAAATTTAATCTATTAGCTTGGAATTAAAACTAAAATTAAAGGTTCAAGTATTTTATTTTTATTTTCTAAATTTATTTAAACTTAGGTAAGATTTTTTTTGCAGTACCTAAATATGATTTGATTTATTCGTTTTCTACTGCTTATTAACTTTTTACAGGTTATTTAAAGGCATAAAATATTTTTCTTAGATTTTAAGAAATTATTTTAGATGATAATCGTTTACTGATACAAGTTTTAGTATTTAACTGATAACTTGCGGGAGAATTAATTTCTTAAAGAGTATTTGTGCGAAAATAAATATAATGAACCCGACTGGAATTGGAACTCGTCTCTCTGGATTAACAATTCTTATCTATTATCCATTAAATCTCCCCGCATAACCGAGCATACAGTAACTGTTATTCACAAACGGTCACCTATCTAGGTACTGACCAAACGCAACATTGCTTAACTTAGGTGATCGTACGAGAACTGGTGTTTCAACGTGATGTGGCCGAAAGCCCTAAAAAAAAAGATGTTCTAATTTTGTGTATGGTCTGTGGGTTTAGATAAGTAAGGAAAGAGCACTACCGCTGGATGCAAGGTTGGGTGGGGTGGGGATGGTGTTCTATAGATATTTTGATTCCTTTTTCATCGCATCAAAAATTGATATCTGCTTCCAATTATACGCCTCCATTTGCCCCGAATATTTTATCTTCCATTTCCATTTACTTTTATCCAAATGAATTATTCATTTCGATTTGCTGACGCAAAAATCACACGCGGCAGGACTTCCAAATAAATGGCAGCGTAATAAGACAGCCAGTTACGGTGGTCGAGTTGCAAACGGCCTTGTCACGTGACTTCTTCGATTCGGAAGAAAAGGGACCAATAGAGAAGAAGATAGAATAGTTAGGAATGGCCAATCAAAAGTCCATTCTATCATTTTATTTTTTATTTATTTATTGTTTGATGATATAAAATTAATCAAATGTTACGCATTTTACAGTCTTAATGAGAAACTAACTTTTCAAGATGGTGTCTAAAAATCGCATTATAAAAACATTTATCCGCTACTGATGAAGCAGTTCGCTCATCTGTCATCCATTGTTATTTTTTAAAATTATGGGATATCGATCTGACAATTGAATTTTCACAAAATTCTAGTAATGCTACCTTGTTTGCTCAGACTGATACCAAGTTCTCGACTCCATCTTGATGCGAAGTTCTTCTTGGACATGATCTCCACTCCCATGTTAGGTTTTACTCGACAGCGATTTCTTCGTATAGTAGAATGGAGCTGCTTATGGATATTGTCATGATGTTATATGAAACGCAGATCTTCTGAATCTTTTCTGGTGCATGACATACAGACCGTGGCAGTTTTCTAGTCTTCCTCCGTACTATTGGAATTGGTGTAATTAAATAATTTCGATAGGCCTAAACATATTGGTAATCGTTTATTTCACATTCGCCCCATTTCATAATATTGTGCTTTACAATAGTTGGTAAATGTGAGGGCAGTGTAGCGGTTAACGACGCGAAAGATGGAAAATTTCAAATTCCAGCCTTGATTACAGGGCTCACTTTCGTACAAATAAATTGGAAAATTGCATCTACCTATTTCTTTTTGTCTGGCTATGGTTTGAATAGCAGAGTAAACGACGCTCTTTTGACTTGAGTGGTAACGAGTTTAAGATTTGAATTCGAAAGATGGTAACTAGAAAAATGGCAACAAGAATAGAAATTCACAAATATTAAATAAAAAGAAAGAGGTGAGGAACTATGAACAAACATTGCATTTTAAATAATAATAATAATAATAATAATAATAATAATAATAATAATAATATTTTTTTTTTTTTTTTTTTTTTGTCAGTGGAAAATGTCGTGATGCTATTTCTAAACTTAGGTCCCTGGGCGGGACCGGGAAAGAAACGTGTAAACGCCAGATATCAAAGAAAATAAAAATAAAAATAATAATGTTACATTTTTAAAAATGTTCTGTTGCTATATTGCTTATTCTTCGTTAAACATTACTTACTTCCCTTTACTCCAAGAACTGTAACATCCAGACACAAACCAAAATACAAACAATTCGCCCTAGCTGTTACCATGGAAATTTTGATTTAAATTATTAAAACACGTAAATTTCAGAAATACGTTATTCCCAAAAAAATTTCGCTTGAAGATGGAACGGAGCTTACTTTAACTCAATTTAATTCAAATAATTATATTGAAGTTTTCGGCTCTTGTTTTGAAACATGAGACCTCTTATGTCGCGAGTTGGAATCATATTTTTAAATAAATAATTATATATATATATATATATATATATATATATATAAGTTCAAAGTTTAAAGTTCAAACTAGAGGTTCAAAGTTTGACTTTTGTGCAAAAGACGGAACTAAAGATTTTGTATCAGCTCTACAGAATAAAAAGATGAGGAATAAAAAAACATGTGTTTGAACAAATCGTGGATAATAACTCAGATAATGCAGTAATTGTCTAGTCTCTTTTTTTATCTTTGGAGCACGGATTAATGGATTGCGGGTCCGACTGAGGATTCGGAGAGCCGAGTTCGAATTCCATTCGAGTCTGTTACATTCACTTACGTACTAATGCCCTTGGGAAAGGTATGAATGTATCTCTCCTTCCCCAGTTATGGGTAAATAGGAGGACATACTGTGTCTAATCGGTCTTGGAATAGGAAAAACACCGAATTCAAAACCTCAAACTATGGGTAAATAGTAGCTCAGCCTGGAGTGTGTAGCCATGGTTGGCAACCAGACTAGAAAAACAACTGTGAATTCCACTCTGGGGCCGGAGTCTCTAAGAAAGTCTGTCAAGTTTAGCTCAGCAAATCTTGCGACTGCGCCTGTGCCAAGCTGTATTGGCTTCTTCCTTTCCCTTGGACAATATCGGTGGCGTGGTGATGGGGGACGTGCTGCCTTATCAAATGCCAATCTCTCATAAAAAACCTACACGGACCTGCGCACTTTACGTCCATGGTTTCTCGATACCGACAGATGTCAATTATATTTGATCATTGTTCGAGTCTCTTCCTTTATGTGCCGTGTCCATTCTGGATATGAACGATGACGGTTCTCGTGTCTTTTCTTGGTCACGTTGACTTTCGAGTCTTTACAACAACTTTTTTATTCTTGTTCTACCACCCATCAACTCAAACACGTAGTCACCTATACGCTTCTCTTGATTCAATACGCCATGTGAGTGTTAGATTCCCCAAGCCCATTTTCTTTATAAATTTGGTCAGTAAATTTCAACTGTTGCTTTCTGATTATCAATGAAATTTGTAAAGTAGTTCCGAATTCCTCTAAAGCCTATTCCTCCCATATTCTGCCTGTGGTATTCTTAGTAATCGTAAGTGGAACCACATAACTCTGGCTTCAAGTCTCTTTATCATTTGTGATCTGATGGTCCAGCATTCACTGCTATACGGTATTACAGAACTGCTAAGAATTCTATCTTTGTGTTCAATAATATATTCCTAAACTAAATACATTGCTTACTTTCTAGAAAGCATCTACCACTCTTTCTTTGCGCCTTTATTTTGTTATTTGGCTTTCTTTGATTAATTAGAAACTACTAAATTACAAATTGCATTGAAAAGTAAAGTAATGAACGCTTTTGTGGAAGAGTCAATGTTTTAATTTGTTCATTTTTTCCTTCTTTCAAGTACTTAAATCTCAATCATTTTTTTATAATTGATTTTGGCTTATTTTCTGCCCTCATCTTAGAAATTTTAACACTGGAATTTATTTAAAAACGAATCGGGTTTTCCTTTTGTTTTGACCGAGAATTTGTACCACATGCAAATTTAATATTACGGGTCATCGATCAGCGATGGTTGTACAATAGAGAAAGAACAAAAAACAGAAGAGCAGAATAATTGAACTCTATATTGAACCATAGTTCGAAATGTTTTCAATATCACGAAACCTTGACCTTGCTCCAGCGCCTCTTCTGCTGGCCTGCCTGCTTTTCTACAATTCCTTCCCTCGCAACATTCTTCATTCGCCATCTGCTTTGCAATCTTTGCTTCCTACAATCACGTTTGTATTCTTTTGTTGTTTTTAATTGATACCGTATTGAATAGTGTAATCAGGGAAATATTTTATCGATTATTTCGATATTAAAAAATACTGCCACACACACAAATGAAAAGGCTGAGTCATAAAGTTTAAGGCAAGTAGTAGAAAAGGGTAAAGAGGAAACCTTAAATGAAACAGTTACGTTATAAATGAAGGAAGACAATTGAAAAGAAGCAAAAACAAATAAAATAGGGAGAATTAAAAAAAGAAAAAAAAACAAAGAAAGAAAGAAAAATAAAAAGGAAATGGTAAAGCAAAAACGATAGAAAAATAGTGAAAATGTATAAGAATAAAGAAAATAGTGAGAAAATAAAATAAAAAAGAAAATAGGATTAGAGTAAAAGAAAGAAAAAGAAAGAAAGAAAGGACGAGAGAAGTAAAAGCAATAAAATAAGAATAGAATAAAAATGAAAAAAAGAAAAAGGAAAATAAGATGAAAACAAAAGAAGGAAAGAGAGAAAGAAAGAGAAAAAGAAATAAAATAAGAATAAAATAAAAAACGAAAGAAAAATAAAGAAGAAAAAAAGCTTATAGTAAAAGAAAGAAAGAAAGTATAACTTGAAAATAAATACAGCAGGACAAAGAACATAAACATTCTATTTCTTCCGTTAATCAATTGAACTTCTTTCAGATCGAAGGGAGACGCGTTTTTTTCACTCGATGCCTGGGATTTCACGCTTATGTGAAAGCGAAATTTGGAATACAAATTTTCAAGGTCTTTGTCTCCCCCCAGTTGTATAATAATTCGGTTAATGCAAACTATTTTTTTTTTTTTAACGAAATCTTTTGTTCATATAAAAGAGCACTTTATTGGGTTATTTTAGTCTAGTATTAGTCCTACTCTTCTAGTATTTTTCTCTCCGCCTGCATCTATAACCCTGTGTTTGTCGCTGACGAAATCTCCATTATTTGACTACTTTTTTTTACCCACTCCATGGACATTAGACTATTCATTTCTTGTTTTATATTTTCAACATTGATTTCGTGTTCTGATATTGCATGCCGTTAAAATTATTTCTGTTTGATACGAACAGTCGGTGGATGAAGGTTTGATGAGAACTGTTGTACATGTCTTTACATGCCGTGTAAGGAGTCGGACTCAGTGATCTTGATCTCCTCCTGCAGTAATATATTATTATATTATCATTATATTAATTTTGCTAACACTAGTTAGATGATGGTCAGTTAACACCTGTTGCTCATATTTCTTTTTGCCATGTGAGGATTTAATCCCAATAGACTTGACCGTCTTCACGTTGTTGTCTTCGATATTAACATACTGAATTGCCATGATATTAATAGGAAAGTCATTTCCTGTCGAATTCTCCACGGTAATTTTATGAAGCACCAAATCTAGTTTGCTAGCCTTTGACTCAAAAACTTCTTCCGCTAAGGAAATTTTA